ACACACACACACACACACACACACATATATATATATATATATATATATATATATATATATATATATATATATATATATGTATATATGTATATATATATGTATATATGTGTACATCCCTATATATATGTGTATATATATATGCATATCTCTGTGAATATATATTGGAGAGCATATTTTACAAAACATATTCATTAAACAGAAATATATTTATTAAAATAATATTTCAGTCACAGAACATCTTTAGAAGTGGAAAGATAATACATATAAATTCATGCAGAATATTGCATATTGCTAAATTGTATATATTTTTGTTTCTCTTGATTTTTGCTATTTATAAAAATTAATTTGATATTTTTTCCCTAATGTATAAATTTGGGCTACTAATTTTTGAACCATTATTTCAAGTTATTTTGTTAGATTAGCACCAGATTTGTCTTTAGTGCTGACTAATCTAATGTATATGCACAAATGTAATATTGTAAAGCATCCTTAGAAAATATTATTCAAATAAGAAATTTGTGGGGGGTGTACTTATTTGCTGAGAATTGTATATTATAATACTATATGACCATCATTGTTAATGATATTATTTTATAATTTTATTCTTTATGCAGTTGATGTAATTATTAAAAAGCAATCTAGTCTGCCAGGTTATTTTAAGGGGTGAGGGGGCATTCAAGATCTTGAATATCAAAATTGGGGTCTCCTGAAACAAAAACACTGTTTTAGTGCATGTTTTATATGAGACCTAATGAAGTTTTGTTTACCAAACAAATGCATCTAAGTGGATTTGCATTATTAAACATTATAAAAAGTTAACACACTTATATATATATATATATATATATATATATATATATATATATATATATATATGTGTGTGTGTGTGTGTGTGTGTGTGTGTGTGTGTGTGTGTGTGTGTGTGGCAGAAATAGTAAAAATAGAAGATCTTCAGATTCTGTCTGGCCATGAGAAGTTATAATTATGCAAGTGAAGAAACCTTCATCACATTGGTTCCTTATGGAAGGCAATTGGGGCCAAAAGTCTTTAGCTGATTTATGAAATTTGATTGTGTCAGTTTGACTGTAAAAAGGTTGCCGTTTTGAACGTGCTTCTTTCGTGCGCATAAAAAGTTTGTGTTGAAGCTGAAATTGTCAAATTTTTTGTCCCTGTTCACCTTCCATACTTCCAGACCATACATCACATGACAAATAAAGAAGACAAGCAGCTACATCAGTGGTCACCAAACTTGTTCCTGGAGGGCTGGTGTCCTGCAGATTTTAGCTCCAACCCTAATCAAACACACCTTAACAAGCTAATCAAGGTCTTACTAGGTATACTTGAAACATCCAGGCCGGTGTGTTGAGCCAAGATGGAGCTAAACCCTGCAGGGACACCGGCCCTCCAGGACCAGGATTGGTGACCCCTGAGCT